GAGGCAGGCTGAGGCTGAGGCCGAGGCTGAAGGCAGACTGAGGCTGAGGCTGAAGCAGGCTGAGGCTGAGGCTGAGGCAGGCTGAGGCTGAGGCTGAGGCAGGCTGATGCTGAGGCAGGCTAGCAGCTGATGAATGCTGAGGCAGGCTGAGGCTGAGGCTGAGGCAGGCTGAGGCTGAGGCAGGCTGAGGCTGAGGCCGAGGCTGAAGGCAGACTGAGGCTGAGGCTGAAGCAGGCTGAGGCTGAGGCTGAGGCAGGCTGAGGCTGAGGCTGAGGCAGGCTGAGGCTGAGGCTGTGACTGCGACTGCCGTTGCCACTGCGACTGTCATCGCGAATGCGACTACGACTGCGAGAACAGCAGAATTCTACAACTGGATTCTCATCTGAATCTTAAGGGGAATGCTTCCAGATATGCTCCTACACATCGCTATTAGGTTGCTTTGACGGGATAATTACCTAACAGCGAAGACTGATAGGTTTCTAGTAGGGTCAACAGAGAGCATCATGACGCCCCAGGGGGGTCTGGGCGCGATCCGGGGGAGGATGCCGGGGGGACGCCGGGGAACTCGTTTTAAGCAAACAGTAAAGCACTTCGTGGTCTTCGAGTTCCCAGAACTCCATTCCTGGACATGATTTTGAATGCCCGGAGCCAACAGTAGGCCACTTCGTGTTCTTCGTGTTCCCAGAACACCATTCCCAGGCCACATTTTGAATGCCCGGAGCCAACTGTAGGCCACTTCGTGTTCGTCGTGTTCCCAGAACACCATTCCCGGGCCACATTTTGAATGCCCGGAGCCAACCGTAAGCCATTTCGTGTTGTTCTTCGTGTTCCCAGAGCACCATTCCAGGGCCACATTTTGAATGCCCGGAGCCAACTGTAGGCCACTTCGTGTTCTTCGTGTTCCCAGAACACTATTCCCAGGCTACGTTTTGATTGCCCGGAGCCAACTGTGAGGCTGAGGCTGAGGCAGGCTGAGGCTGAGACTGTGGCAGGCTGAGACTGAGCCTGAGGCAGGCTGAGGCTGAGGCTGAGGCTGATGCAGGCTGAGGCTGAGAGGCTGACGCTGAGACTGAGGCAGGCTGAGGCTGAGGCTGAGGCCGAGGCAGGCTGAGGCTGAGGCTGAGGCAAGCCGAGGCAGGCTGAGGATGAGGCTGAAGCTGAGGCAGGCTGAGGCTGAGGCTGTGGCTGAGGCTGAGGCAAGCTGCGGCTGAGGCAGGCTGAGGCTGAGGCTGATGAGGCTGAGGCTGAGGCAGGCTGAGGCTGAGGCTGAGGCCGAGGCAGGCTGAGGCTGAGGCCGAGGCAAGCCCAGGCAGGCTGAGGCTGAGGCTGAGGCTGAGGCTGAGGTTGTGGCTGAGGCTGAGGCAAGTTGCGGCTGAGTCTGAGGCTGAGGCTGAGGCAGGCTGAGGCTGAGGCTGATGCAGGCTGAGGCTGAGATGCTGAGGCTGAGGCTGAGGCAGGCTGAGGCTGAGGCTGAGGCCGAGGCAGGCTGAGGCTAAGGTTGAGGCTAAGGTTGAGGCACGCCGAGGCAGGCTGAGGCTGAGGCTGAAGCTGAGGCAGGCTGAGGCTGAGGCTGAGGCTTTGGCTGAGGCTGAGGCAAGCTGCGGCTGAGGCAGGCTGAGGCTGAGGCTGATGCAGGCTGAGGCTGAGGCAGGCTGAGGCTGAGGCTGAGGCAGCCTGAGGCTGAGGCTCAGGCCGAGGCAGGTTGAGGCTGAGGCCGAGGCAAGCCGAGGCAGGCTGAGGCTGAGGCTGAAGCTGAGGCAGGCTGAGGCTGAGGCTGTGGCCGAGGCTGAGGCAAGCTGCGGCTGAGGCAGGCTGAGGCTGAGGCTGATGCAGGCTGAGGCTCAGGCAGGCTGAGGCTGAGGCTCAGGCAGGCTCAGGCTGAGGCTGAGGCCGAGGCAGGCTGAGGCTGAGGCCGAGGCAAGCCGAGGCAGGCTGAGGCTGCGACTGCGAGAACAGTAGAATTCTACAACTGGATTCTCACCTAAATCTTAAGGGGAATGCTTCCAGATATGCTTCTACACATCGCTGTTAGGTTGCTTTGCCGGGATAATATTTTTCTCAATCGAAGTGTGCCCCTCGACGCTCGCACCCTGTTTTTTGACAGGGAACGTCTTGATGCTCGAACTGAGCCCCTGGCACCCGGGTTACAACATCAACGGCTCCAGCCTGAGACTTCCTGAATTTAGCCAGGAACCCCGCTCCCGCCCGAGACCCCCTCGCATTATATTCAGGAATCGCGCTCTCGCTTGGGACCTCCTTACAATTTATTCAGGAATCGCTCTCCCAGCGCTCTGGAGTCGCGCCCTCACGTTGGAATTTCCTGCAATTTGCTCAAGCGCCGCGCTCCCGACACCCAGGCACCCAGAAGTCGCGCCCGTTGTGGCCCCATGTGCATGCCCTTCGTGGCTCCGCTGTCGCCGTTTGTGGCCCCCTCGCTGTCCTACGTGGCCCAATTGCTACCCTCAGTGGCCCCATTGTTGTCTTCTGTGGCCCCTCATTATCTGCCCTTCGTGGCCCCCCGCTCGTTCGCGCTCTTCGTGGCCCCATACGCATGTCCCCGCTCTCGCCCTTCGTGGCCTACTTCGTGTCCTTCGGGGCCCTGCTGTCGTTCTCTCTCGCTCTCGCTTTCGCTCGTCGTCGCCGTCGTCGTCGTCGTCGTCGTCGCCGTCGTCGACGTCGTCGTCGTCGTCGTCGTCGTCGTCGTCCTCGTCGTCGTGGTCGGTCCCCTGTCCGTCCCTCTTGGGGTCGTGTCGACGGTCCGCGGCCGCCCCCCGCTTGCCGGGGCCCAGCCTGCAGGGAAGAAAGGTATACCCCCAAAAGAGGTTCGATCGAAGACGAAGACTCGAGCAGATATGGGCGAACAGTCTCAAAATGATTGTTGTCGTCGTCGTCGTCGTCGTCGTCGTCGTCGTCGTCGTCGTCGTCGTCGTCGTCGTCGTCCCCCCCGACCCTCCCGCGACCCACCCGCGAACCCCCCCGCCACCCACCCCACGACCCACCCCGCGACCCACCCCGCGACCCACCCCGCGACCCACCCGCGACCCACCCCGCGACCCACCCCGTGACCTGCCCGGGTCCCGCGACCCACCCCGCGACCCACCCCGCGACCCACCCGCGACCCACCCCGCGACCCACCCCGCGACCCACCCCGCGACCCATCCGCGACCCACCCCGCGACCCACCCGCGACCCACCCCGCGACCCACCCCGCGACCCACCCGCGACCCACCCGCGACCCATACGCGACCCACCCGCGGCCCGCGGCCCACCCGCGACCCACCCGCGGCCCACCCCGCGATCCACCCACATTGCTATACAGAAATCGGCGCCTAAAAGTTAGGCGCCTGCGGCGGGTTTCTTCAGAGCCTCGCAGACTAACGACGTCCTCGCCGCCCCCTCACTCTTATCCGCAACTGCAGGGTGCTACGTATTAGTTTCAAGTTCGATTTACATGTGTATGTATATAAACATATACATGTATTGATACTCATACTCTTGGGGGCCTCTGGGAGCCTCCCGGTGGCCTCTTAAGGGCCTCTTGGGGGAGTCTTGAGTGCAGCTGGGTGCCTTTGGGGCGCCCGTTGGCGGTCTAGGGGGCCATCTTGGGGGAAAGGGCTTGATATGCCATTGATATGCCAGTTCGAGTTCCTCCTCTTGGATACCTTTTCAGGCCGTCTTGGAGCCATCTTGGAGGAAATGTTTTGAAATGCCATGCCAGTTCGAGTTCCCTGTTGGGTCCCGCTTTTGGTCCGTCTTGGGGGCCGTTTGGGCCCTTCCAGGGGCCACATCTCTGACTTCCGAGTGTGCTCTCGGCATGGTGTGGCCGCAGTCAGTAGAGGTTGTTTGTAAAGAGATGACTCCACTCCGAATGCATTCTCATGGCTGCGCCAGCACAACTGTAGCTTACAAGCTCTGCTGGCAAGACCCCCCATGCGATGCGTGCATCTTATCCCCTGTCCGCCTGCAGATCTGGAGTGGCGCAGGACAGCGTCAGGGACTCCAGGGTTCTCTGGACAGGAGCACACGAGAGGCCGTCTGCAAACGCGCGGGGCAGGAGGCGTCAGAAGCCCACCCGTCCGCCCGCCTTGCCTGTCCTTGAAAATCCCTGGGCCCGCCCACCTCGCAGGCGGACCCCCTCCTCCTCCTCCCCCTCCTCTTCCTTCTCCTCCTTTTCCTCCTCCTCCTCCTCCTCCTCCTCCTCCTCCTCCTCCTCCTCCTCCCTCCTCCTCCTCCCCCCTCCTCCTCCCCCTCCTCCTCTCCTCCCCTCCTTTTCCTCCTCCTCCTCCTCCTCCTCCTCCTCCTCCTCCTCCTCCCCTCCTCGCAGCGGGCCCCCCTCGCAGGCGAGTGGGTGAGCGAGCGCCGCCCGTCTCCCCAGGGGTACAATGTAGACCCATGCCAAGAAGCTCCCTGCTTGCCTCCAGGGTGCCCTGGGCTTCTTGGGTTTCGATGGCTTTGCGATGGAAAGCGTGACGTTCCTACGCCAGAACTCAATGGACGTCTGGGGGTCTCAGGGTTGGGTTTCTCGTGGAAGGTCTCTTGTGGTCGAGCTCCTGCCGTAAATGGGGGGCCGCCTGCCCGCTGGCCTCGGGCCCGCTCGCCTGCCCCATCTGGGGCCCTCGGGCAGCCAGACGGGCCCGCTCGCCCAGACCTCCGCCCTCGGGCCCGCCAGCTCCGCGAAGCCCGCCGGGCCGCTCCCACCCGCCCGCCCGCCTGAGGCGCCACCTGCTCGCAGGGGCGGCCTGGCGGGCCAGCCCTGGTGCCCTCGACCGAAGTGCAGCACCATGTGGGATCTGGGCCCCCCCCAGGGCGCGGAGAGGATCGCGGCCTGGGTTTGGAGAGGAGCCCTTGTCGAGGAGGAGCCCTTTTCCAGGGCGGCGGCGCGAGGGCGCGAAGGGAACCGCGCGTCGCGCATCGCGGGGCGCAATGCGCGAAGTTGGGTGACCCAGGGGGTGGCAGCACCAGTGCCCGAGTCTGGATACGAGCCCCGCCCCCTCCCCGCAGGCGGCCGGCCGCCGGGTGGGCCACTGCAGCATCTGCAGCTGCCTCGCGGTCCGCCCCGGCCACAGCTCCGACTTTGCCTCTGGCGGCCTGGACTGCGCGGTTATCCTCTGGAGGCGGAGCGCCCGCGCCAGCGCTGGCGCGGCGTGCGAGGGCCGGAAGGTGCAGCTGCCGCCCGACCTGGACGAGGCCTCCGCGACCTCCGCGGGCGGCTGCCAGCTGCTCAACCCGCACTTCGTGCACTCGCTCTCCTACGCGCCCGACGGCGGCAGCCTGGCCGTGGGGCTCGGCGACGGGACGGTGGCGCAGCTGGACGCGGGCTCGGGGCGCCTGTGTCGGAGGCTCAGGGGCGGCGCCTGACCGACCCCTGGCAGAGCAATCCCTTCCGTGACCTCCTCTGGGCGGCGGTACATGGGGGGCGAGGACAATGGGGGGGGGGGCAGCGAGGGCCGCAGAACAGGGGCCCTTTGGGGCCCCTCCAAGGGCCCTGAAGGGTCCCAGAGGAGGCCTACAGGGCCCGAAAAAAGTGAACTCTCTCTCTCTCTCTCTCCCTATTTTTATCGCCCCCCCCCCCCCCCCCCCCCCCCCCCCGTAAGCGACGCCCAAGTCCTCGTCGCCTCGCCCCCGGACGTGCGCATGCGGCCGGAGGGGAGCTCGAGAGGCGAGGGTGCCGCCGCGGGGGGGGCTGGTCTGGCCGAGAGGGTGGCCTGCCGAGAGGGTCGGGTTTGGCCGCGCCCGAGCCGAGAGGCTGCGGGGCCACGCCTCCGCGGTCGCCCAGGTCCTGCACGCGCCCGCGGGGCTCTTCTCCGCCGGCAACGACCTGGGGATCTGCCTCTGGGGCCCGGCGGCGCCCGCGCCGATGCTGCGGCTGTCGCACCCGGAGAAGGTTCCGGGCAGGAGATCGACCGCAGAATGGATCTGCCCAGAGAATGGTTTCCGCAGTTTCTTGGCGGTCGTCCGGCCTCGGGATGCGTTCCAGCGGCTGCGCCTCGCCGAGGGCGTTCCGGGGATGCCCGGATCGTCCCGGACGGCCGCCGGAGACCCGAATTGTGACCCGAAAACTGAGCAGGGCGGCGAGCGAGGGGGGGAAGTGAGGAGGAGGAGGCCTCCTCAGAAGGCGGCGGGGCTTCGCAGAAGCCCTTGCGCCTGCTGAGAAGCTGTCTGTGTCTTCGGGGAAGGCCTCGAAGGCTTCTCAGAAGGCCGGGGGACTTCCGAGCCTTCTGAGAGGGCCCGCTCCTTGTGACTCCCCCCTGGGCTCGCCGCCGACCAAAGGCTCCAAATTGATTTCCCGTCGAACGTGCGAGGCAAGCACGGGACGTCCTGCAGATCTACAGAGCACTCTGCGCATTCCTCGTAGCTTCGGCGGGGACGTCGAGTTTGTGTGGCCAGTCAGCTTTGCAGTCGGTCCCCTGCCCGACAGGTGAACGGGCTCGCCTGGGCGGGCTCGGCCCTGCTGGTGGCTGGCCTGGGGCGCGACGTCGTGGCCTACGAGGGCTTCGGCCGCTGACCTCTCGGCCGAGCCGCTCGCCCAGGCGGTGGCAGTGAGTCGGGCATGTCCCTTTCTAGGGGGAGCATTCAAAAGTCACCCCAAAAATAGTATGGGGATGATCTTCTGAGCGCGTTTGCACACATACATATATATATATATATGTGTGTGTGTGTGTGTGTGTGTGGAATGTTTTCTGACTGCTTCTTACACTTTCCCTCCGGAATCCGCCTCTAGGGGGACACGCCCGACCTAAAGGGTGGCCCGCGGCGCTCGTGGCGCCGCGCTCGCCGGGGCTGGGGGGCCGCCGCCTGCCGGCTGCCGGCGCCCCGGCGGCAGAAAGAGCGGCGCCCTGCCTGCCGAGAGAGAGAGCTTCGTCGCCCCGAGAGCCGGCGCTCGCTCGTGGCCGTCCTCGGCCTCCGGGGGTCCCTCGCAGTGGTCCCGCACACGTGCGCTTCCCCCACTGCGGGGCCCAAGGGTATGCACCACCACCACCTCCCCCCTCCCCTCCCTCTTCCAGGAAAGAGGACAGGAAGACGAGGGTGGAGGAGGGAGGAGGAGCCGACGTGGTGGTGGTGGTGGTGTATAGTCTTAGGGCCCGCGCCCACTGCGCGAGTCCCAGCGAGCACCGCCCGACCTCCTCTCCCCCTGCGTGCACCTCCCAAGGCACCAGGCCCCACGAGGCACACCCGCCTGCCCCTCCGCAGGTGCCGTGCCAGGTCGCGCCAGCAATCGGGGCTCCACCAGAGCCACCAGTGCTGTTTGCTCCTTCGGTAAGGCCGCCCCAGAACGCGTCAGCCATCGGAGCGCCCTGTCACTTATCTCGTACCGTTTGCCACTCCAGGGGGTCCGCGCCAGACTGCGCCAGCCATCGGAGCACTCCGTTCTTTACCAGGGATCGGCCCTTCTCACTCAAACAGTCGCATCACTACCGTTTGCCACTCCAGGGAGGCCGCGCCAACGTACCTTGTGATCTATCGGGGATTGTGCCTTCCCCGGCCCACAAGGCACATCGGT